TCTAAGCTATTGAGAGGAGAGAGGTGACTAGAAACCTAAATTGGATGACTATTGCAACTGAGAACTAACCAGGACCTTAGTTTCTTGAGAGTAAACACTAAAAGTTAAACTGGGAAGTCAGCAAGACACACACACAAAGCTTAATCAAATATTTAACAGTGTGTTCACATACCTGTGTCTTTAAAATAGTATTGGGAACAACTTCCCTCCAAGTAGAAATGTTGTTGTTTGTAAACTGAGAAAGATAATACCAATAACTTATAGGCCACAATGTGAGAAAAAGAACAGAAGTACAAAGAGCTTTGCAACCAATCAGATAAAATTCAAAACCAGACAAAACTATGATGTTTGGGGGAATATCAGTGTAAAGCCATGATGAAAAAAGTACAGAAGTGATGATGATAAAAGTCAGTCTATTAGTTAAACCACGGGGTTATTTATAAACAGGGTAAATCATATGGGAAGCATCTGAGGTTTGACAATGTTCAATTTGAACACTGGTGATATGGTGTTGATTTTATATTTTATCATTAGACATATTTTATGTGCATTTCATTATGAAAAATGTAAAAGAAACTTAAATCCTCAAAATCAACAAAAACAAGAACTCTGTAAAACTTAAAGTACTACTCAAACATATGACATTATAATTTTATTATTGGACTACTGGTGTGAGAAATAAATCTCAGGCAGAAATAAATCTTCAGGATTAAAGAGATGGAGGTCTAGGAAATTGTTACACCAAGGCACAGATTGTTGACTGGCATAACAACAGAGCACCATGCACCTGGGGTTTGTGAATGGGATGAACTGGGGGTGGGAGAAGGGAAATTGTTCAAGAAGTAGAAACTTTGAAATAAGAATGCAACTATCAAAAGGAAATAGACGACATCCAGAAAGATTGTTCACCCCACAGTACTCAGTCAATGAGGAACTGTGGGAGGGACTTTTGAGACAGGAGCTAAATATACTTGCAAAAACGAATGCACGGCACATTTGCCTGTCTTGTCTTCTGGGCTTGGTGATCCATTTTGCAAAATCAAAGACTAATAAAGCTTCACTCTCTCTAAAATGACTACAGATTGGGTTTCTTGAGCGTTTGTAAGTAAGCACTCATGGTAAATCATCTGTGACCTCAGACAGGATAAGGCGGTCTACCCCAGTTCTCCCTGTGGAGACCCATCAGGGTAAGGGCCTAGTCAGGGGTTTTTACTGACCAAGTGGAACAAGGTCAGTATTGAGGTTGGATGTTTCTCACACTGGTATGGTGCTGTAGGAACAGCACTGGACTGCATAACTCAATGTCGGCAGTTCAAACCCACCAGTAGCTCCTCGGAAACCCTATACAGGGTTCATTATGAGTCAGAACCAACTTGACTGCACTTAACATAAAAACAATATAAAAAGAAGAAAAACTTTGATCCCAATACCAAATTCTAAAAGGAATTTATATAGTAAGCATCTTTGTATCTCTCATATATATATATATTGCTGTTGTTGTTAAGTTCAATCGAGTTGGTTCCAACCCATAGTGACCCTGTATAGGGTTTCTGAGGAGCAGCTGGTGAGCTTGAACCTCTGACCTTGCAGTTCAAAAGGCTTTGCAGTTTGGCACATTAACCCACAGTAAAGTATCTTCAACTGCAATTTTAAAAACAGTAAGAAAAAAATTTTTTTAATAAAGCATTTCTCTTATTAAGCTTTCCTTTTATTCACCCTTAATATAAAACAGTGAGTAGAATAATAATTTGCAAATCATTGAGAGTATTTATAAGAGGGATAACTCAGCTAACAGTGATGTTATTTTGTTTTGTGGTAATAGAAGGATATAAGAATAGAATTTCTAAAACCCAGATTAAAAAAGTTTATATTTAAGACTTCCTTAGACTAAGGTTCTCTAAAACCATCTGCTTCAATAATGCTTTTCAGGAATAAGATAAAAGTCAATGTGAACCTGAACTTTCTGAATGTCTGAAGTGCTAAAACACTGAAGACTGATCTATATACTTTCATTACCAGATAACCATGTGTCAAAACTGGCATTTTGCTAGGAACGTTAAGGATACTAACAAAAGGGAGAAAACTATCTAGAAACTTGGGTATATTTCTCAAAATAGATTTTAAATCTGCTCAAGTACCTGGATCAGGGCTTGGCTGAGACACTCTGGATTTCACGCAGGAAAGGAGGAAGATGCATTCTTTTAAGGGCAGCTAGACATTATGGCATTTTACAATAACATGACATTATTAGGAGAAAGATGAGGCTTTCTGCTTTGATAAAGACTTGTAGCGTCAGAAACCCTACAAAGAGTCACTATGAGTCAACAGCATTCAACAGCAGACATTACCTAAGGAAGACTGGGGTTAGGCATTGGGAGGTTAAACTCAGGTTAGTGGTTCAAATCTACCAGCCACTACAGAAGAAAGGCTGACTGTTCCTGTAAAGACTTTTAGTCTCAGAAACCCTATACAGGGTTGCTATAAGAAAAAACGAACATGATGGCAGTCGTGTGTAGAAATTACTTATTGCAACTCACCTACTTCCCAAATCAAAACCTTGATTTCCAAAACACAGTTACAAGCTTCTTAAGACACTGTAACAGTCACTTTACTATCACCTCTATAAGAAACAGCATCTTAGGAAAGCAGCAAACAAAACACAATAATTAGTGGTAGGTGTGAGGGACTAGAGCGTCCAGACTATCAACACTTACAACTTACTGAAACTCCAACAGAACTTTACTATTATTTTTTGTTGTTATTCTTCTTCCTTATAATAGCAACTACTATTTACAGAAGCAGTGCAGGAACTGTTTTGACTCATTTCACCTTTAAAATAAGTTTATGAGGAAGATAATATTATCCTCCACGTTTTGAGAGTGAAGAGTAAATGTGATACATAAAATTCCCTGATATATTCGAAAATGTTTTCTAAACATTATTAATAAAGTTTTGAGCTCTGGTAGCGTTGTTGTTGTTAGGTGCCATCAAGTTGGTACCAATTCATAGCAACCCTATGCACAACAGAACCAAACACTGCCTGTTCCTGGGCCAACCTCCCAATCGTTGCTATGCCTGAGCCACTGTGCCAATCCATCTTATTGGGATCTTCCTCTTTTTCTCTAACCTACAACTTTGTCAAACATATCATTCTCCAATGACTGATCCCTCCTGATAATAGGTCTGAAGTATGAGAGACAAAGTTTGGCCATGCTGGCTTCCAAGGAACACTCTAGCTGTACTTCTTACAACACAGATCTGTTTGTTCTTTTGGCAGCCCATGGCACTTTCAATATTTTCCTCCAACACCATAACTCAAAAGCATCAATTCTTCTACAGTCTTCCTTATTTACTGCCCAGCTTTCACATGCATCTGAGGTTATTGAAGAACAAACAGATCTGTGTTGGCAATCTACTAGCTGCTCTGAGAGACAAAGATAGGCTTTCTGCTCCAGTAAAGATCTATAGCCTCTGCAACGCTATAATGGGTAGCTATGAGTAAGAACTGACTCCACAGAACATAACCACCGCCACTAATAAAGTTTGGTGAGGAAAGCAGTATAACTGAACATTTCACCTGGTATGTGGAGGATGAACTGCCTCCATAATTTCTCAAAGCAGTTAGTTATTTCTCAAGGAAATCGTTGCCGTGAGCATGGAACGAAACTTGTATTCAAAAACACTGTTACTGCAGGACATATGCAAGTTACCACAAACAAAATAAATTACTTAATTATTTTTAATAGAGACATAGCATGATTTGATGCCCTTTAACACTAGAATTTCAACTGACCAAATGTGGGTGTCATTGGCTCTGATTCTGGAAGTGGTATTATGACACAAGCTTTAAAAATAACATGAACAGCAAGGGATCTAAACTCAGCCCACACAGTTGTTCAACAGATGACTCCCACCTGTAGAATCAAAAGCTGCTGAAAGATGAAAGAGGACTGTGAAAACCCATTTAGCACACTATTTATGAAGAGGACTTGTTGTGTCATTAAGTTGGTACCAGCTTATAGCCACAGTGTATAGAATTTTCAAGGAGAGGCTGGTGGGTTTGAGTTGTTAGCATTGTGGTTAGCAGTCTAGTGCTTATCCTACAGTGCCACATCAGGAGGCACTGAAAAAATGTTAGTTGAAGAAATGCTTATTTAAGTTCAGTGTAACAAAAGGAAAAAAAGAGTCAAAGGAAACTAAAACCCTTAAATTTTTATAGATGTAACTTCAAAACTGCATAACAACAGCGTCATACACTTTAAGCACCTCCACCCCAAACACATTAAAACAGTTATCAATATGATGCAAAATTCTTGATTCCATATTACATATAAGTGTACCTAGGAGATGCTGCATATTCAATTCCAGACCAATACAATAAATTAAGTCAGGGAATGTTCTGATGGCCCAGTATATACAAAAGTTATACTTATGATGCCACACTATAGTCCATTAAGTGTATAACAGAATTATGAAAAAGTCTGAAAAATTGTGAGAATTACCAAAATATGACAGGGACACAAAGTGAACACAAGCTATTGAGGAAATAGCACTGACACACCTGCTAGGCAAAGGATTACCATACACCTTCAAACTGTAAAGAACACAATGTCTGCAAAGCACAATAAAACAAAAGGGATACCTGTACATTTTATCTGAACGATGGTTATTATTGCCTAAGAGAAGGATAACAATGTTTTCCAAGGGTTTCTAACAATAGCGTCACAGAAAGAAGACAATTTTTAATCAGAGAATTCAACAACAGTAAAAAAAAAAAAAAAATCTGTAAATATAGGTAAGCAATGGAAACAAACTAATTTTTTTTAACTGTTGAGATTACCATACCAATAAATCTGTCATTCTGAAATTAAATGTTGATTAAAGTTTTCAATCCTACCTCTGACATAGGCAAGTATCTAGAAAACATATTTAACATATTGAATAATGCAGGAGACCATTTAGAATAGGAATGTAATATGTTGGCTAAAACATCACCATACCTCCAGTTTGTTTTTCTCAACAGCAGCTTGCAGAGAAGGAGAGGATACCAAAGACTGAAGAGGAGCATCAGAAGAGGAAATCTACAGAAAGCAGATGAAAAAAAAATAGGAGGGAAAAACACACACAAACAAAATGTAATCAAAATTGATAAGCATAGGAAGAAACAAAAATCTGCATATTTCTGAGATATAGCAGGGAAACAAGGAAAATTATGCATCAAGACAGAAAAGGCATTGCTTTTTAAAAATTTCCAATGAAATTTCTTAAAGTGAAATTATTTATTATACAGAATCATTGATTTAAGATAGATTTCATTAAGATATAAATTTTAAATCTATTGAAAGACATAACAGAGTATATGAGAAATAAGCTGCTCTCATTGTTTGTTTACTTGTAGCCAATGATACTACTGAAATGCTCCAAAGCATAAAAATCCATCGTCCCAAATAGCAAGAGAGCACAAATGTTTGCTTTTACAAGCAATGGTTTTAAGAATGAAAAAATTAAACAGTTGAATTAGTAAGAGTTAATTAAATTTTTAATCAACTACATAAGAACAGAAAAGGGTTGAAAGAAAAAAAAGTGTATTAATGTAAAACAACAGCTGAGTAGCAGGCAGATTATTACAAAGCAATTTATACACACTTCCTTCTTTAAGATCATCACAAAGCCCATCATTTCCAGAGCTGTACTTGCTGAATTACCTCCAAAACATTATGAGTTATAGATGCAGCAGATGCAATTTACACATGAAAATGGTTTTCATTTAAAAGCTTTTTCACAAATCTTCATACCCAATTTTTACCAGTGTTTGATCATTTTAATGGAAGCATTATCGTCCTGCTCTTTACTACCAAAATATAACTCAAATACATTTATAAAAGGCGTAGCAGATCTTTGGAGCTATAAAACTGGCATCTTTATATTGCCCTATCATATCAGTAGTGCCAATGAGGAATTTATTAAGATAAAAGCTATTACAGTTAGGTCATTATGTAATGTTAAAGTAACATTGCAAGATGACAAATCCTATTCATTCTGCTTGTTATTAAGCTACTTACGATACTAATTTTTAAATCACGACCATAGATTATAGACTTTAATTTTTTTCTTGTACACAATTGAATCTGTTGTAACTGTGTATGCTGGCCATTTAATAACTGCTCATAGAAATTACAAGAAGCCCTGGAAGCATAGTGGGTTACATGTTGAGCTGCTGAGCTCAATGTCAGTAATTCAAATCCACGAGCCACTCCGCAGGAGACAGATGAGGCTTTCTGTTCTTATAAAGATTTATAGCCTCAGAAACCCTACATAGGGTCGCTATAGGTCAGAATCAACTCAACTGCTGCACACAGGAACAGAAATTACACTTACAAGAAAATACACAAGGATATCTAGAGATTTCATTTTAAAAAGGCAAAACTTTGCCTTAAAGTCTTACACAATAAAGTCTGTACTATTACATATTTTGGGACGTGTTGGCTCCATACAATAAGTACTGGACTGAGAACCACAAAGATTGTGGTTCGCGATCACCTGAGAAAATGTAAAAACTCATAAACACTATACAAGGTGACTGTGAGTCTGAACCAACTTGACAGCATGTAACAAAATTAGATATTTACTTGCTACAGACCTTTAGTTAACACTTCATATTGAAAGGGCACATAACAAAATCACTTGAAAAGATGATAGACTGTATCATAGCATCCTCTTTGTTCAACATGTAATATATAATGGGGAATGGCAACAATGGTTAGCAATTCTTAGACATTACAAATATAATTCACTATAGAAGCATTTGTTTTCCTTTTCAAAAAAATAATCAGCTGATATGGGCACTTTTAAAATTCAGAAGCAAGGATATAAAAACTAACAAATACCATTCCTTTAAAATTCTTAGTACATACAAAGCTTTAATATAAAGAACTAAAATCATAAAAGTTCTAGAAGAAAACCTTGGCATAAAGCATCAAGATCTTGATTTGACAATGGATTTTTAATTAGACAACAAAAGCATTAAAGGTTTAATATATATAAAGAACTCTTAAGACTCAACAGCAAAAAGACTAACAACCCAATTTAAAACTGGGAAAAAGGACTTGAATACACATTACATCGAAGAGAATACTTAATCAAGAAGCACATGAAAAGGTGTTCAGCATCATTAGCCTTACATACACTGCCACTGCAATCCTCTGGGGCAGTTCTACTCTGTCTTGGCTGAGTCACCGTGATCAGAATTGATGGCTTAGCTTCAAGGAAGCATATTTTTTTCACATCGTTCTCTCATCAAATGGCTGGTGGGTTTAAACTACCAACCTTTTGGTTAGAAGCCTCACTCTTAACCAGTGAATCACCAAGACTCCTTTCATTAGCCACTACCCCAAACCTACTGCTATCTAACTGATTCACTGATTCTGACTCACAGCAGCCCTATAGGACAGAACTGCTCTACAGGCTGTAAATCTTTACAGAAGCTGGCTATTGCATTTTTCTCTCATGGAGCAGCTGGCAGGTTCGAACTGACAAGCAGGGCGTCTTCTCGTTAGCCATTGTTGTTGTTGTCATTAAGTGCTGTCAAGTTGGTTCTGATTCATAGCAACACTGTTTAGGGTTTCCAAGAAGCATCTGGTAAGTCTGAAACACAGATCTATCTCGTGGTTCAGTGCTTATTCCACAACACCACATCAAGATAAGGAAATACAAATCAAAACACAATGAGATACCCAATAAGATGGCTATAACCAAAAACAAAACGGGACAATAAATGTTGGCAAGGATGCAGAGAAAATGCACTGACTGCTGGTGGGAATGCAAACAGATACCTCTGCTATGGGGAACAGTTTAGCAGTTCCTCAGGAAGTTAAACATAACATATCATACAACCCATCAATTCTACTCTTAGATATATACTTAAGAAACTTGAAAGCAGTGATGTAGACACATGTATACATCTATGTTACGGTATACCAGTGTATACCAATGTATACAACAGTCAAAAAGTAGAAACCCTCACAATAAAACATTTAAAAAAAAAAAAAAAAGTAGAAACCCAGATATCCATCAACACATGAATAGATGAACAAAATTTTGGCATTTACATACAAAGAAATATTATGTAGCTGTAAAGAGAAATGAGTAGTACTGGTTTGGTACTGTAGGATAAGGACTGTACTGCTAACTGCATGGTTGGCGGTTCAAGCCCACCAGCCACACTTCAGAAACCCTATACATGTCAGTGAGCCAGAACCGACTTGACTGCACTTAACAACAACAACAAAAGAGAAATGAAGTCCTCATATGCCCACTCCTCACTTATCTATTGACAAGGTTCCAAAATCCAAGATGTTATGTGAAAATCAGTGTTATTAAAAAATGGATGATGATGACCACATCAAATCACAAAATGGAGGATGATACATCATTATACAACTGTCAAATTACATCATTACCTAACTTCCAAATCACTTAGAACCACAGACTAGGCAAGCTGACACAACCTTAACTATCAAAGGCGATATTTTCATCTTGTACCAAGTATCTTAACAACAACAACAACCAAGTATCTATTACCACCAGATGCATGTTAACGTGAAAATATTACACAGATTTTTTACTATTATAAAAGTAACTCTTATAAATGTGAAATGTCAGATAATGAGACAGTCCATGAGTGAGGAACAGGCATATATGCTGTAACATGAATGGAACTTTAAACAGTATGCTGAGTGAAATCAATCAGTCACAAAGGGGTAAATATTATGATCTTGCTAACATGAAATAGTACTAAAAAGCAAACGTACACAGAGATGAGAGCTTAAGAGTAGTTACAGAGGTAGGAGGGATGGTGAGCAGGGACAATCATTATATAAGAAAGCAGTGAATTTCTGTTTACAGTTATAGAAAATGTATCAACAGATACTGGAGTCCTGGTGTGACATTGTAGGAAAAGCACTGGACCACAAGGTTGATTTGAACCACAAGGTAGGTGGTTCAAACTCATCAGCTGCTCTTTGGAAACCCTATACAGGATCGCTATGAGTTGGACCCAACTTGACGCACTTAACAACAAACACTGGTGAGATTTGCACAATAGAACTGGTATAACTGGTCTCAGTGAACTGTACATTTAAAAAAATCAGTGGTTGACTGGGCCAAGAAATCAAGCTGAAGGCCAGTTTTCATAATGTGCCATTCAATGACCATATCAAGCCATCTTTCAGGTCACAATTCTGACAAGATTGTGGATGGATTAATCAAACAGAACTCAAGACAAATCTTGCTAATTATCTAAAATATCATGCTTAGGCTTGGCTACTTACTTGCCTGGTGCTATCTGATAGTGCGCTTCACTGTTGCTCATAAGGTTTTCAGTGGCTAAATATTCAGAAGTAGTCCACGTCTCCTTCTCCAGAATCAATCTTAGTCTGGAAGCTCAGAGGAAATCTGTCCACCATGGATGATCCTGCCATCATTCAAAATACCAGTGGCAAAGCTTACAGCAACATGCAAGCAAATTGACAAGTGCCCATTCCAAACAGAGGTAACCCAGTGGAATGTAAATATCATAGGAAAATATCATTAGCAGTGCATGCAAGTAAAATTTTGCTAAAGATAATTCAAAATTGACTGCCAACAGTACATTGACAGGGAACTGCCAAAGGTTCAAGCTGGACTCAGACAAGGATGTGGAACCAGGGATATCACTGCTGATGTCAGACTGAAAGCAGAGAATACCAGAAAGATGATTACCTGTGCTTTATTGACTACGCAAAGGCTTTTGGCTATGCCAAGGCTTTTGATCATGACAAGCTACAGACAAGACTCAGAAAATGAATATTCGGGAACACTTATATAATCATATGAGCTCATGAGGAACCTGTACATACACCACAAGGCAGTCATTAGAACACAACAAGGTGACACCGACTGGCTTAAAATCAGGAAAAGTGTGCCCCAGTGTTGTATGCTTTCATCACACTTATTCAATCTGGATGCAGAGCAAATAATCCAAAAGGCTGGATTATATGAAGAAGAAGAAGGTGGCATCAGGATTGGAGGAAAGCTCATTAAC